GAACACGTAGCCTCGGATCTACAGACCAGCACACTGACCATTGGGTCGCACTCGCCCGATATCCATATAATACCTAAAAAATAATATAACACTAGATGAAAAGTTGTAATTTCATGTTATAAAATTGACCATTTTTATATTACTTGCATAATTCTTGTTTTTGTAATAATATCAAATATATTACTATTTTTATCTTATTTTCGCAGATTTGATTGATTTTTTTTCTACAGTGTTTAATATTTTCTCTAATTTAATATTAATTTTTTAAAAGTGAAAACTTATATTTAAAAAAGTTAAGAAAACTTTTACTTCGTGAAATTATTTGGACGAACATAAGTTGTTCTTGTAAATGTGTTTTATCGAAAAACTGAATTAGAAAATGAGGTTTTTCGTAAAAAATTACTTAATTCTAGCAATTAACAAGATTTGATGGCGAGACTCTTGACATTAATGAATTCGAAAAGAAGGATTTCGTAGTAAGTTTCAAAGGAGACATTCATTACACTGCTATAGAAGAACCACTGCAGGAGAGTCATTATTATGTAATAACAAAAATGTATAGGTAACTGATCGTCGTTTCATCATTTTATTACAAATCAATTTTTCACGAGAGTTACATTTCGGCGAATCATGATGACTGTTCGGAGCAGAAGAGGGGCCACTCCGTCAAGTAAAATTGAAATATGGTGTAGCACAACAGTTTTCAATTTAATAGAGTAATTGAAATATTCTTCGTTATTATGTTGCTTGTTATAATTTTTATAAAATATTTTGAATATTTTGAAGTTATTTGAGTACTAAATGTTTTGCAGATCAAAAAGTTATGAAAAACCCTATTTCGAAGTTTGACATATGACTGGTGTTTTTGAAAACAAACAGTAGTCAGCTTGTGATTATAATTATGATCACTTTTCTGAAAGATTGTGAATGCACTTTAAATGTTTTTAAAACAGGTCAAATCTGGTATTTGTACAACAAAAGATTTTTGGCTATTTATAGCAAAACAAAATTGTTTCATCATTTCCAAGTTTCGTACAGCTTTAACGTTTGTGTAAAATGTGAAATTAATAAGCACCTGTTCGTCATTTTATTAGGTTTTACGCTAATCTGAACTACTGCGTCTTTACAATGTTAAATAAAAATATACATTAAAATCCGTTTTTAGTCTACATCAACTGATAATGTAAATGTGGTCTATGAGCGTAAAGGTATTGATTATATGTGTTATCACTAGCTAAGACGGCTTATCACAAGCTAATAAGTTTTACCACTAGTTAAAATGTATTACCACTAGCTAAGACGGCTTACCACGAACTTATACGTATTATCACTTGCTAAAACGTGCTACCATTAGCTAAGACGGCTTATCACAAGCTAATAAGTTTTGCCACTAGTTAAAATGTATTACCACTAGCTAACACGTCTTACCACGAATTTATACGTATTATCACTTGCTAAAACGTGCTGCTAATGATACCACGAATTTATACGTATTATCACTTGCTAAAACGTGCTACCATTAGCTAAGACGGCTTATCATAAGCTAATAAGTTTTACCACTAGTTAAAATGTATCACCACTAGCTAACACGTCTTACCACGAACTTATACATATTATCACTTGCTAAGACGTGCTACTAATGATACCACGAATTTATACGTATTATCACATGCTAAAACATTCTACTAATGGCTAAAATGTGTTACCACTAGTTAAGACGGCTTATCACAAGCTAATAAGTTTTACCACTAGTTAAAATGTATTACCACTAGCTAACACGTCTTACCACGAATTTATACGTATTATCACATGCTAAAACGTGCTACTAATGGCTAAAATGTATTACCACTAGCTAAGACGGCTTACCACGAACTTATACGTATTATCACTTGCTAAAACGTGCTACCATTAGCTAAGACGGCTTATCACAAGCTAATAAGTTTTACCACTAGTTAAAACGTATTAACACTAGCTAACACGTCTTACCACGAACTTATACGTATTATAACTTGTTAAAACGTGCCACTAATGGCTAAAATGTGTTAAAACTAGCTAAGATGTATTAACAATAGCCAAAAATGTATTCTCACTGACTAAAACGTAGTGCTATGTTGATATAAATGTATTACCATTAGCCAAGATGTGCCACAGCTAGCTTCAGTGTTGCCATTAGCCAAAGTATGTTATTGTTAACTAAAATATGCTACTACCGGCTAAAACGTGGTATTACTAGCTTACAGTATTATCACAAACTAAAACGTGTTACCACTGGTTAAACTGTTTAAATAATAGCTAAAGTATTTTACCACTAGCAAAAATATTTACCATTAACTGAGGTATGTAAGCAACCAACCTAAACGTTTTATAATCACCTAAAACCTGTTACCACCAGTTATATGATACGCATTATTACTTGCTAAAATATATTACTATTAAATGAAAGGTATTGCTATTAGATTAAATTATTACTAAAAATTAAAGCATATTACCACTAGCTAGTAGATGTCGATACAATCTAAAACCTGGTACCATGTATTAAAAGAGCTACTGATACCTAAAATTGATACAACTGACGTGTTACTACTAGTTAAGACTGATTAACCTTTCCAGCATTATATTAATAAAGTTTATAATCTAAATTTGTGCGCCAAATGTACTTATAAAGGCTAAAAATGTAACATGTGTGGGTATGGGAGGTACATAACGTGTTTCCTACCCTGTTGTATATTTTTTTTCTTTCAAAATATCTGTACATATTGTGTATTTAGTCTTAACATAGGATGTCTGTCAAGAGAACCACTAAATTGTATTTGTCCTAGTTACTTACTGAACTGGGTCACTCAATTAGGATGTCGTATGCACATTTTGTATATGAAAAAAAAAATCCTGTAATGTGAAGCATGCAATATCAAAATAGACAGTGATCGTTTTGGCAGATCAGGTGATAACTCAAAGTTATAACTTCCCTTATATTTCTGTGATAGCGACCTGTTTATTGAGAATAATACATTACTGTTTTGTATAAATAATGCTGTTTTCTCAGTCTAGAACAGATTCAATATATGTACTTCGTTTCTGAGAGCTCCCCAGTAAAGACGCCCAAAGATATACTTGTTACAACTTTATTGTTGTTCGATTGAATGAAGACTGTTTCACTGTGTTCTACATTATGTGCAGTCTCTCTTTTCCTCAAACTCAGTCGTAATAGAAGAATTCAGATTTGTCCCGTATAGCGTTTTCTGTCGGGTCCTTTGTTATTCTGCGGAACATACACGATTACTCTAAGGTACACCACTGCACATGAGAATACTACACACGTACTATTTTCTAATTTTCTGTAGTGTATTTTGCTTTTCTTAGATTTGTTTCAACACATTTCATAAAATTTTATACCAATATTGATTTTTCTATAAGTAAAATTACGGTGATGTTTGTTTTTGACGCGAATCACATTTTATAACCTCCTAGCAAAAGAACTGGGCAATGTTGAACTTAAAAACTGAAATATAAATGACATCGTGGGCCGCCCCTTTCCACTGCTTGGGCCGTTTTTCCGATACAAAGATACCTTTGCTGAGAGTGCGTCCCTTTCGTTCGGAGTCGGCTTCACAAACTTTGTTACTGACCTCCTCGCTCAGGGAAATCATTCGCGGTGGAACTGAAATGTCTACCAAACTTGAACGAATCGTTCGATTACTTATCAAGTTAAACTCAATCTTTGGGGTTCCCCACAGGTTCCTCCACCAAATTTCATCAATAATGGTTGAGCTTGTTCATCGCAGCAGCTTGTGACACCAGACAGACGAACAAATTTTTTGTTTTTGTATATAGACTATACCATTTTAAATGTTTGATTTTAAAAGAAGTTGGAAGTCCCTTAGTATTCATTTAGACATGCAGTACCTTTTTATTTCACTAATTCCAGACAGAAAATTAGGAATGTTGTCGATACATAGAGTTTTATCTGATTAATTTATTACAATGATTTTTATATATCTTATAGAATATGAGTGTCATAGGTACAGAAAAAGTTGATGCACGAGAGGACACTTAGAAAAACGCAGATCATTGTATGACGCACAAACTAATCTTTATATATTCAAGCCTCCATTAAAGATTTAATTACATTTTTCTAACACTATCAGCAAAATAATATCAAGTTATCCCTAATGAACATTCGCTCATTCGACAAAATGTGTTTTTAAGTCCACGAATATGCTTATAAGAATATTCTCAAATATTATACATATAAAGAGAGATGAAAACAAAAAACTCGTCAGAAGTAATCAGTTGGTTATTATGATAAGCGAAAAGTAACAGAAATTAGTAAATTCTGTGAACAAATACAAATGAGGTAAGAAACTTCTATTAAACATGTGGACATATTGGCCCCGCAGCTTTTAATCTCTGGATTACATAAAGTTGGTTTGTAAGATATAAGAAAAGTAAATAAGGGTTAGTTTGTTTGTTTTGAATTTCGCGCAAGGCTATACGAGAGTTATCTGCGCTAGCCGTCCCTCATTTAGAAGTGTAAGACTAGAGGGAAGGCAGCTAGTCATCACCACACACCGCCAACTCTTGGGCTACTCTTTTACCAAGGAATAGTGGGATTGACCGTAACATTATAACGTCCCCACGGCTGAAAGGGCGAGCCTGTCTGGTAGTGACGGGGATTCGAACCTGCGTCCCTCAGATTGTGAGTCGTGCGCCCTAACCACTTGGTCATGCCGGGCCAAAAAAAAAGGGTTAGTATTACACACAAAACAGACCTATAAATACGTGAGTTAGTTTTCTTATATGTTGTGTAGAGAAATTTAAATATAACGTTTAAATTGGACTAATTGCTCTAATCTTGAACTGTAAATCAAATAAACCGAAGCTCTTTAAATTAAGTTTCTGGTTAACTTTAACATAAGCTACTTTTATTACGATTTGCATCATATTAAAACAATACGTAATATTTCAGTTGGTTGTTTTTTATTCTTTTCAATTTCCAACAGAGTGCTTTTGAAGAAATCGATGGGATAGATTATACTGGAAAGGAGAATCAAGGCTTTGAATCCGACATTTTTTCTGACAGTGAAGACAAGAAATCACGATGTAACAGTGGTAAAAGTAGCAGCATTGAACCAAACGATATTACGAAAACAGAAGAACAGGATGAAAAAAACAATGTCGTATCTAATCTCAACAATCTCAAATCTCTCAATTGCGACTTTGAAGATACGTTCAGTATTTCTCAAAAGAATAACACCTATTCGGGTGACAGAAGATGGAGTTCTGTTGTGGTTCCAATGGATGCAAAATTTTTTTCTTATCTAAAAAACGTAACTGAAAATATCTTATCAGAAGAAGAAATGAAAGAAAAGTTCAGGTAACTCCTCATTTTAAAAGCTCATTGTAACATAAATACTCTTGCTATTGGTTTACGACGTAACGCTGACTACAAGAGTTCGTATAAAATGTACAAAATATAACAGTAACACTCTTTCTTTAACACATTTTACTTCGGCTGTAAATTCTCCTCGTCTTCTGAGAGTTTTCATGCAAACTAAGAATAGTCCTGTCATATTAAACCTTTCATATTTAGTACAGGTTAATATATATAGAATGACATTTCCTGAATGAAATAGTTCAGATCTAGTATTTGCTGCCAAAATAAATCCATTTATTGCGCATATCCCCGTCTCATAAGAAATTACTCCGATATTCTTTAGCGCTAATTATCAGGACTTATATCGCTAAAAATTCGGATTTCGATAATCGCCATAGGCAGAGCACAGATAGGTCATTGTGTAACTTTGCGCTTAACAACAAACAGACAAATATACTTTAATTCAAGCTAAGACAATATTGACACTTAGAATTAAAAAAATTAGGTCTAAGCAATTTTAATTAACTTGTCTCTTTAGTTATTGCCAAAACAATATTAGTATCTAATCACAAATTCGTAAAATAAAGTTATATTAATTATTCTAAAAAAATATTAAAAGTTGAAAAAATAAAGGTAATTACAGGAAGATAAAAGTAACTTAAAAAAATGGTGATAAAAATTAAAGGTTCCTAATGCAATTCAGTATTATATATTTTGGATAAGCATATCACACATCTATTCCTTTTATTATCTTAATTTCTCAGAGAAAGCCTCTCAGTTCTCTTGAGCAGTATTTATTGTGTGTTTCTGGTGACACTCGGCGCTGTTCTTGCTCTTACGGACCAAGAGCATTACAGAGAGGTAAACTTTTACATATGCTTTTCTTTTTTTTATATTGTAGACTAGAAACTTGTAGTTGTAATTATTGGTTTATTTCTCGTATTCCAATTAATTACTCAAGTAACTATATGGCAACATTTAGTAAAAACTAATAAAATCTATTTTAGCCAATATCATTTTGTGAATAAATAATTACCGATAAAAAAATAAGTGTCGACTAAACTGTTAATATGTTCACTACTTTATCTTTTTTTATAATTTTGCAGACAATTAGATGAACATTTGTGCTTTTAATTGAATGATACAAATGGTTTTATTTACAAAATATACAACATATGTCTTTTGCATATTTTTTTATTTATATTTCATACATTAATGTTATTGCTGAATTCATTAACATCACGTAATTAATTGTATATTCAAAAATTATATGCTCTGCCATTCTTGAATATTTAAGGTACCTGTACTGAATGTTGTTCGTAAGTGGTATATATATTTTAATTCAATTAGCTTATAAAAACTAATAGTAATACAAAGGGCAGATTACTTAACCATTGCATTTGTGATTCGATTAAAAAGTCAAAATCACATCTTCCAGAATAAATATCGGGTACAAAAGGTAAACTTTAACTGTATATAACATAATGTTATATTTATAGAAAAAACTCCTGTGTAACGATCATAGAAGTGTTAAGTGCAATAGTTGTAAAACTCTTAACCTCCGATTTGTTTTTATTAAAACTTTAACACAAGCTGTATGTGAAACTAATTAAATGAAAATATCATTCTAATTTAAAAGATTCGTCAGCTTTCAATTTCATTCAAATGTTGTTGCTTTTTTGTCGGCTGCGTGTCAAAAAACATTTTAGTATTAATTACACCATAAATAATAATTGTACTACTTAATTAATTATGAAATTTTCACTCGTTAAGATATTTTTAGAATTATAGTAAGATCATGAATATTTTGGTAATTATTTGACTCTATCACAAACATTTCTTGTCAAGTCTCTTGTAAAGCTTGTTTAATTTTTCAAAATGAAATATTTATAAGAGCAACAGTACACCAAATAAAATGCTTGTCCCTGATGAATAAAAGTTTGCCTTTTAAAGCTCTCGGGTTATAGGGTTTCTTACTTTTGTCTTTTACTTTACTGATGTGACCGAAAGCTATTCTAAATCACTTTGTCTTAGTTGAAACATAATAACTTTAATTGAGCTTTGTTTGTTTATTCGACATTTATCATTGACTTACAGACTAAAAAATGAATAGCCTATAACCTTTTTAAAGTGTCTTTTCCAGATTTTTAATACAGTAATAGCTTGCTTAGGATTAAGCTGGCTAGTGTTTTTCAACGTGGACCTTCAGCGATACAAAAAAAGCATTTTATCTATGATAAAGCAACAAGAAGATATTGTTCAAGATACTGAGCAAGAAATTAACCAGTCAACAAGCGACATTTGTAATCAATCCTACAATACTTCCGATAACAACAACACGTCGTCCTATAGGTTCTTAATGGGTCGTCACAGTGGCAGCTTCTATCTTAAAGTAGGGATGGCTGGTAAGAATACATTGTATTATATTATTAATGCTTAACTTAATATGAATTCTTCCCGCATTTAAAATAACGTTGAAATAAAGATCTTATTAACAGATTCAATTAAATATCGTTTAAATTTGATCAAATATATATAGAATAAATTTTAAAGTCTTCAACACAGCATTATGTATCGTACGTATAAGAAACCATTGGTAATATAATACAGGATGTACCAATTAAATAGTCAAACATGAAATTATGCAAAATATAACCAGCGCCAATTTTAAAACGAATAAGAAAGTGGGGCTAGGGTAAAAGTAGATAAGAAAAATGCACTTTTAGAATAAACTTATATTGTAAAATACAGTCATAAGAATTCAGTAAGTGAAGCAAAAAATGTATCAAACATTGAGAAGGAAAACTAAGGTACTTATCCTGGAATGTTATAAAACATGATTAAAAATTTCAACTTATTAAAGAATAGAAACATATATTTTTTTCATTTATATCCTTTCAGAATACTTAAATACGACTAACGTCCCACTACATTTTTTGTAATACTACACTGACTCCACCTTCCTTTCAGAAATAGTCGTGATCAACCTGAAAATATAATGAACACGGAGAGTAGTTTCATCACGACTACACAATTCCATGAATAAGTAAAATGAAATGTTATATAACAGCAAAATGAGGTAAAGGTTCAAAAATAGCAAAACACTGCGATCAAGAATATAATCCTACCTTAGGTTTAAGTACACTCTCTCTCTCTGTATATATATATATATATATATATACATTATTATTTCTTTTATTATGTACTTAATATGTGATTTGATTCATCCGTATAATTTGCTATATATTTTTTTAATTTAAAACGCGTTTTCATTATTAAGACTCCATCTTCAACCAATCTGTCTTAAACAAGACTAGAAACAAACTCAATCTTTACATCATGTCAATTTGTATTTGAAATTATATTTTGTTTTAAATTTATTTCAAAGTTTAAAAATTTTAAATGTAGAATGTTTCAGAAAGTTTTTTAAATTTAGTTTGAAGAATGAATGCTGGTTCTTCAAAGCTTTCCCTGTTGGACTTAGTTGTAAAAGTGGCACTTAATAATAAGACTAGTAAAATGCTGGGTAGTAACAGTATGATCTAGGATAACAAATATTTTCATGTTACCACCAGAAATTTAAATTTTCTGTAAAAGATAAATACAAAAGATTATTTTGTAGCTAGTGCTTATAGTTCTTAAGGTACTAACTATATTTCATTGTGGGAATAATTATGTTTGCAGCCTTTTGCTTTGGGCATCTGATTCACGAAGGTTTACAGCTTGGGCAACATGTTCTATCCTGGTCTAAGCAAAATTGTAATTGTGTGAACAAACCAGCAGTTGTAGTACACATCATAACTCCGATCTTTTCTTTCTACCAGCTTTTCATAGCTTTCAAGTATTCGAATGTAAGATTTTTTGTTATATTATTACACTAATAAAGTATTTTTAACATGAATGTCAAGATTATCTAGGATTTTATGGTGTATATTTATTATGCAGATCTTCTTAATACGGAATTAATTATTCATTTTAGAAATTAACAATAGATGTATTTTATTTCTTATTGTATTTCTATCATACGGTGATATTTTGACTCACATGAAATGTCACAATAAGTTTCATATGTCTTAAATAATTAAAACACACGAGCGCTTATTTCTTTGTTTGAAGTTTTATTGTAACTAAGCACATTAAATCGTAATAAACAATAATTACTGAGATTACAATGTGATTATGTAACCAGTTATGTTAACACGTTAATTTAAAACCATTTCATTAAGTATCTTGCTGTAAACTGTTTGTAAGATATCTGTCAAGAACTATTTCAGCAATTCCCCATTGTTGTTTCTTATCAAAATATTTTTCAATAATTTCTAGGGTAACTTCTTTATAATTTATTACTTAAAATATTTCAATAGTTTATACGAAAAGATGTTTAAAAACTAGAATTGCATATTTTAAACCATTATTCTTCGTTCACCTAATATCGTCCAATTTTTCTCCTTCAAATAGAATAAGCCATTTCCTTTCTTCTTTTATAAAACATTGGTTCGCTTCCAAATAACACAAGTACTTTCTTCACCCACTTCTCATATACACAAAAGTTCCTTGATCATATGTTAGTCTACTAAACTTTGTCACTTTCCTTGTCCTCGAGTAAGGTCTAGAGAGATTATCACAAGCGACAATCCCCAAGTTTATAAAAAAATATACTTAAGAATTAATATGTTGTACGTAAAAGCCAGGGGAGCAGTTTGGAGGAAGACAAGGGGACAGTCCCCCTGTCCTTTATACCATTTTTTAATTTGTGAAACAATACCTAAAATATGTAGTTTTTGCGCATGCTTCCATTTAATGATTTTCAAGCCTGTGACTACAAGTTCCGCAATCTACACCACTTGCCTCAGCTGAAAATGTGCAAGTAAGATCATGTCCTGTTTCGGTAATGTTGTTATAACATATATATAGGAAATAATCATACAAAAATTTTCCCATAATAAACTGATTTTTAAATATTTTTGTTATCTGCAAAAAAGAAAAATGTTTAAACTTGTTTTTGAAATTTAAAACGGCGCCCCTGGTAAAAGTAAAATTGACAAAACTTCCGAACTCTAGGCATCTCTGTAATATCTCATTATTGTTGATTTTAGATAATTATCAACCGGTATCAGATACAAGCAAGATTTGGGTTAATGCATTTGATTGGGACGTCTCTGTGCAACTGGTTCAACACCCTCGTACAAGATGCCGCCGAAAGTCATAGTTATACACACGAAAGTGTTACTAACCATTCACTCGACAACAGCAGCACAAATTCAGACTTTCATTGTAAGTAACTATTACTTGTTTGTTTGTTATGAATTTCGCGCAAAGCTACACGAGGGCTATCTGCGCTAGCCGTCAGTAATTTAACAATGATAAACTAGAGGAAAAACAGCTAGTCAACCTCCCCCCCCCGCCAACTCTTTTAGCAACAAATAGTGGGATTGACCGTCACATTATAACACCCCCGTGAAAGACTAGAGGGAAGGCAGCTAGTCATTACCACCTACAGCCAACTTTTGCCAACGAATAGTGGGATTGACCGAAACATTATAACGCCCCCACGGTTGAAAGGGCGAGCATGTTTGGTGTGATAAGGATTCGAACCCGCAGACTGCGAGTCGAGCGCCCTCATCACCTGGCCATGTAATTATTATTCTCAGAGAAGTTGTAACGAATAAAAATGATACAAATAAAACTGTTAGAATGAGATTATTTTCTACTGAGTTTGAATAATATAAATTTAACAATTCTGACGTACTGTTTATTGATTTAGGACTGCTGTGCTTTAAGTTTATTCGGACATCTTTTTGGTGGTGAAAATAGTCATTGTTTTCGAGACATGGCTAAAAGGTTGCGAAATTTTAACGAGTTTTTCTCCTCCCATGGAGAACGCTGAAAGCTACATTTCTCGAAATGTTGTGTCGTCTGGCTCGACAAAGCTTAATTATGTTCTTTTAAAAAACAACAACAGTAGAACAACTGTATATCATGTTCCCTTAATCACAAAATTTACTTGAGACAACATTGTACTGTTGAATGGTTGTGAATTTGTGAGAACCTAATATATATGAATTAAATAATTCCTGTGGTGCTGCTGTTTACATATGCGACGACACACCACTGTATTATCATATGCAGATCGTTCATATAAAATACGCTTAACCTTCTTTGTTGTATTACCATTTCTACGAATGTTGGACTCAAGGCAATACCTAATTCACATATAAAAAGCCCCCTCCCCTATATGGTATATATAGTAGCTAGACGTTGCTAAGATGCCATATTTTATTAGACATTTTGCTTAACTCTCTGAAACGTTGAAATTGTTCACTCTTCTGTTTCGAATTCAGTTTTTAACTGTCAGAAATGTTTTTTGAGTAAAGTATGATTGGTCCCTTAAAATAAATTCATTAAAAGAGGAATTACAATTTTTGAAAAAAAAATCTTTTTAGAGTTTAATAATTTTTTGGTGAATAAGTTAACTTATTGAGTAGTTTATATTAAAAAGATTCTGAATATGCAAACCAGCAAGTCATGTCACAACTACAGTCGATATAAGGTTTTGTTGTAACGGCATGTATCAGGACTACATTTTGACATTTAACGTTACGTAGGTTGTGTGATGCTACCAAAAATTAGTCGCTTGTGGAAAAGGTATGTAATAGCCATTTCTGACGCAATAGCCCACAGATATGGCTTAGGCCGGGCTTATAACGCTACAAACCGAATTTCGATATTCGCTTTGGACATAGCGTAGATATGTTATTGTGCAGTTTTGTGCTTAATAACAAGTAAAACAAAATGCTGGAAAATGTATTCATACATTCGTATCATAAACATGTGTTCAGATCGGGGATTTAAAATTTTCAAGATGGATATACCTTTTGTACTTAATGGCATTTGAAAACAAAGGAATGTGATAGAAGTTGGAGAAAGAGACCTGCACAAATCAGTGGCTAAATCACCCAGTTTCTCAGACAATAGTAGCATAATCAAGAAGGATCTCTGTCTGGAAAAGTAACACAACTCGCTTCCACGCCACATCAGTCCAGTTATTGTGCACCTCAAGCAGCTGGAGAATGAAACTGGTATCCATGCTATTCCATACGAAGACATACCAGTCAAGTCGCCGAACGCAGCAGTTATGAATATTTGTGTGATAGAACTGTTTAAATGGACGGTGGGAAAACATAACTTTAGTATTTTAGATGGATTATGTAAAACCAGCAGGGAGGAGAAGTGTGCTTTGACCATGACAGCTTTACGACAGAGCCTTTTGCAATGAAAACTATGATGTAGGGCTATCATCAAGATGCAGGGTTATAAAATAGACCATCAGACTTGACGATAATGACTGTAACGACGTGATGAAGCTCCAAAATTATTCTGATATAACGTACTCAATGTCTACACTTCAATTTGTCGCAGTATTTTTAATTGACTTAAGTACAAGAAGCCAGCAGAAAACTGATTACTTTTAATTTTTAAGTGATATCCGATTGTAACACATTGTATTACGTTTTGTTGTAAGAATATTTACTGAAATTTGCATTATCAGTGACAATATATATATATGTTTCCTCCCATGCTAGTTTTCCAACTGTAAAGAAACTTTGTTTATCAATATTTGACATCAGATGTATTTATGTTAATCGTGTTTATATATTTTCAGATTTGCACGGTATAACTAATGAAACCTCTGATAATGACGCACCTGAACCACGATGCTGTTATGGCAACCACATCCTACTTTCACCTGGCACTCTTCAGATGATTCCGTATCTCTATCCGTTCACTATCGAATACAGCCTTTTGTTAGCTGGTGTTTGGTTCATTTTATGGCAAAATATTGGTCGACAACATTCCCATGCAAACCCTCACCCTTTCCACCAGAAGATCGATACCAAAGAAGGAATTGAGGAGGTCAATTATCAGAGCAACTTGTTTATTAGTGCTGATTGCCATGCCTCTAATAAAGGGCTATTTGCGGGCCTTTTTCTTGTGCTGATCAGCATCATCACTGTCATTATCTTCTTTGTGGCAATGAGTGGAGAAAAGTTCGTGATGACAGGCATCACTGTTCATACATTACAAGAAGGTATTCTAACAGGTCTCGCTTTAATCGCTGTCCTCATCTCTTTCCGTCAGACATCTCTACTAGACATCAACCTACACCCTATCACATTTCTGGATGATGTTCTCATGTTTATTCCTCTGCCTTTTTTCTTTGTAAACGGATTCCTATCTATAATGGCTGATTCTCATGCTCGCCATCACGTCAGAGTAGGGATTAATGTTCTCATTATTGTTCAGGTTGTGGTCCAAACTGTGTTCATTATCGACGGCTTGAGACGTTGCAGCAATTCCCACGCACTTCGTTACAAGAAGCCAGGAAGAGAACTGATCACCTTTCTCATCATCTGTAATCTTTCTATGTGGATAGTTAACACATTTGAACACAAGAGTGTCGAAAACTACCACGAGCAAACACACTTCTTTGGCTCTATATGGTCTATCGTCTCCCATGCCACATTGCCGCTGATGCTTTTTTATAGATTTCACGCATCTGTGTGCCTCGCAGATATCTGGAAGTCTGGGTATGAAAAGGGTGAATGAAATAAAATTTATTATAGGTGAATATTAATGTCTATATACGAACACAACACATTTTTTGTTGAGGAAGATTCATAATTATACCTATAATAAGCATTTCCCTCTTAAATGAAACAAACCTATAAATTAATTATAAAAACACCATAATCGTAGATGCTTTGCTGCAGATTGAGTGCAAACTAAATGTTAAACAAATTTCAGCTTTGTCTTTCAAAAGTAAAAATAGTAATTCAAAAAGGCTTACTATTCAATGGACGTACTCACTAGAAGTGACGATGAAATATCAACCATTGCTTTCGAAATTTAGTATTTTCGTTGTAAGTTAATTATCATCCTCCTTAAACAAGCCGCTTAATGAATTAGACCCAAATGTTCAAATACGACAGTTTTTGATATACTTCTAATAAGAAATATTTTTCTGAGAATCCGTTCATTGGATTACGTACTATAGCAGCGGCATTATATTTCCTCTACTGGTTATATTTCGTGTTGTTGATATTTTAAAGGTGTTTTAATATAAAATGTTAACACGGAGAGCCTTACTTGATAATATGAAAGGTATTTCAACTTAAAATGTTAACATGGAGAGTTTTACTTGAAAATATGAAGTCCCAGAACTGTGAGATATTTCCTTGGTATTTTGTTAATAAAACTTCAACATTTCGTAAAATGACATCAGACTATAAGTCATATCTGAAATACAAATAAAATATCAGCACAGCCAAAATACAATAAAATGAATACTCTTTAATTAACTTGTCTATTATTATTAAAGAGCTATAATCTGAAAACAAAACATAATCTATGTTAAAAATAAATATGAAAATTATCTGATGACTTCACCTCTTTAAAGCTTAATCTTTCACAGACACAAATACTAACAATTTGATAATGGTTCTGATTAATTTATCATTGAATTCAAATACAAAATTAAATAATTTATCTATTTCCAATATTTTTTCCGCTTATAGTGATTTTATATAATATTTCAACTCAATAGTTTGTTTTAGAGCAAAGTCTCATTGGAATACCTGCAATGTCTACTGCGTGGAATCGAACCACGGATTTTAGCGTTGTAAATCCGTAAACTTACCGCTTTCCCACCGACAGGCTTTAATTCAATCGTAAACAGTTTTTCTTTCCAGTTATAAAAACAACCAAAAAAAACGTTACCATACTATGACACATGAAGCATACAACGTCACAGATAAAGAAATATGCCTGTTTTTAAGTTATTTTCTAATTTTTCGGAGATTTCATAATTTGAAATGTGTTCGTAGTAAATATAAGTCGTCTTGTAGAAATAAATCACACCCACACATATATAACATTGTTGTAACGTATTCTATCGTAGGGCGAATCTCTTTGTATTATTTGGTAATATGAGCCAGACTTGGCCTGGTGGTGAAGGTGCTTGACTTGCAATCTGAGGGTCGCGGGTTCGAATCCCTGTCACCGAACATGCTTGCCCCTTTTAGCCATGGGGACATCACTATGTAACAGTCTATCCCACTCTTCGTTGGTATAAGAATAGTCCAAGAGTTGGCGGTGGGTGATGTTGACTAGCTGCCTTCCCTCTACTCTATCAGTGCTAAATTAAGGACAGCTAGCGCAAACAGCCCTCGAGTAGCTTTGTCCAAAATTCAAATCAAACAATTTGGTAAAAACAACGCTAAGTCCAATCCAATTAGCGATAATGATTTTTTTTTAGTTTGCTAGAGACTACGCCCACTTCCATACAAATTGTAGGCCTATGTTCACAAACAATGTTTGAACAGAAATTCCGAGACTATTTAACTTGCAAATAAACTTACTTTCAGAATTTCTTTGTTAATCAATTGATTAACTTAATACCACGACAACTCTCATTAGAAACACTAAACTGTTTGTTTGTAGTTAAGCACAAAGCTACACAATAGGCTATCTGTGCTATGATCATCACGGGTATAGAAACTCGATTTCTAGTGTTATAAGTCTACAGATTTACCATTGAAGGAAAACACTAAATTGAATGACTCGTTAAATATTTCACTAATCCCCGGTGGGTCAGTGGTAAGTTTCTTGATTTGCAATGCTAAAATCAAAGGCTCGATTCCTCGCGGTAGACAGAATGCAGATAGCCCGTTGTACAGGTTTACTCTAAACACACCCAACAACAACAATACTTCATTGAATCTACACATATTGATTACTTGTATTCATAACCTCGTCTCTCTAAATTCGACAGAATTTCTAGATTATTACGTCATCATGAACTTTATAGAGCTAACGTCGCCATCATGCTTAGCATCTCCCTCTAATAAGTAACTAAATTATAATATTGAGAATATAGCTTACAACAATATTACAAATATATAGGTACAAAAATATAACTACATTTGTGGATCTAATATCACGAGACTTCTATTAGATCTATAAATCATATCAAGGATATAAAAGCTAGTTTTATTTCAGTGAAAACAATGCCAGATATGTTAGAGACGTTTTTGTTCTATACTATAATTCGTGTGCACATTATTAAAATCGAGATATTTCCCGTCATTGTAACACAGTTATTTTCTTTAAACTAACTGATAGGTTGAATCGTCAAACATTATATTAGGTCGTCAAAAAAGTAATGTCGCTTTTTTAGATGAAAAAACTCGAACAACTTATATATAAAAACAAAACATTTATTAAATGAAATAGTCTCCATTCTTATCGATGATGCTTTTCCATCTTACAATCAGGTTGTTAGTACCCTGATTAAAGAAATCCCTTGGCTTTGAAGCAAAAAAACATGTCGATGTCCTCTTTATCACCTTCCACATTTGTACATGTTTTCCCATTAAGATAGTGTTGCAGTGAACGAAAAAAATGGTAATCTGATGGTGCCATATCTGGAGAATATGATGGATGGGGGAGAACTTCCCAACCAAACCCAATAATCTTGTGTTTCGTCAAACGCGCCACACGTGGAGAAGAATAAGACCTTTCCGATTGACGAGTGAAGGGCGTTTTTGATGAAGAGCTTGATTTAAACGTTCCAGTTGCTACTGTAGATATCTGCATTGACAGTTCGTTGTGAATTGAGGAGTTCGAAATGAATTAC